TGAATATATTCGACTGGCCTCCAGGGCAAAGGGTTAAAATCTACCTTATATCTCTCTCACTGGTTCTAGCAGCATCCTGGAAAGCTCTTCACTTATGCTCAGTTACACTGGAAAACGTCAAATATATGAATTTAGAAACTTTCTGTCAACGCTTTGCTGAAATTAGGTATTAATTGATATTAAATGACAGAATGCCTATAGAAATATACTACATGCCAAGGGTTTTCTGACTGAGGAAAGGTAGACAAGAGTGAGAAGGGGTACAGAATGAAATAATTAGCACAATGAAATAATGATATGATTTTCCATTTCCATACAAATATTGCTAAATACTTCATTCAGTAGCATTAGAGGGCCTCGCTTTCTTTACTGTTAGCTCATTTATATTCATTTTGTTCAGTTGTGTTCTTTTTTAAGCCCTCTAAAATAAAAAGAACATAGTATTAATAATCAATTTACTTTGTTAATCACAATAGTTTTTCAGCATTTCCTATTAAACTGAAACCTAGATTGTGACAAATACTGAAGGAATTAAAGATTTACAAATATTTTTTAAGGAAGAAGGTTGCTGACTTGGATTGGAACATGGAGTTTTCACTATGTATTTGAAAGAGCTATGTAAATTAGTATGTGACTTAATGTCTATAAATTAGTATGTGATTTTTTAATAGGTAATCTACATCAAGATTATTTCAAATACTTCTTTTTTAAATTTTTTAAAGATTTATTTATGCATACAAGAACTGGGGAACAGGCCAGAGATGAGGGGGGTGCTCCATGTGGGTTAGCTCCCTGAACTCATGCTGGAGAGGCTGCGGACTGCTTCACAGTGTTGTGTTTAACCCCTTGCACCACCAGGGAGGCCCTATTTCAAATACTTCTCTACAGAGCTGGAATCATCAAGTGGACACATATGCTGCTTACGTGTGCTTGCAGCCTTCCTCCTTTGGGAATGGAGTGTATATGACACTCTCACATTTCCTTAAAATTAGAGGTATGGGACTCCCTTGGGCCAATGACATGTATCACTTCTAGGCAAAAGCATTTACTGTTAATATGAGACCTATAGCCTTACCCTGCCTGCATTGGCTACCACAAAACACCTGTTTATTTTGAGATTTGACTCTAAGCCCTCATATGAAAGGGGCTTCCCTGCGGAGTCACCCAGTCACACCTCAGGCATTTTATGAGCAAGAAAGAGACATCTGTCCCTTCATAATTTGGGGTGTTTGTTACCACAGCAAGGCCTAGCCTTTCTAACCTATACAGAGACCACTAGGTCCTAACACAGCAAGTTTGATCCCCTAGCTTGTCTTTAAGTTCTGCCCCCTCTCTACTTTAACTTACTGCTAAAATTAAAATCACACTTATTTTTTAGGAGAAACTGATAAGATAATATTCCAAGCTAGCACCTGGAAAAATGGTTGATTGGATTGGTCATAAGTATATGACTTGGAAAAATATACACATTAATACACTAGATTAAATGACTAGTGGATTTTCTCCTCTTGAGTCTAAGAGGTATAAGTTTCTTGTTACTGTTTTAGCAAACATGGTGACTTGAAACAATAAAATTTTTCTTTTACAGTTCTCAGAATGTAAGTCTCTATCAAAGTGTTGGCAGGGTCATGTTCCTTCTGGAGATTTCAGGGGAAATCTGTTTCCTTGTCTTTTGAACGTCTACTGAATGCCTGTATTCCTTGGTCCCTTCTTCAAAGAGCATCACTCCAATCTCTTTTCCATTATCATATTTTCTACTGTTCACTCTGATCTCCTGGCTCCCTTTTCTAAGGACCCTTATGATTACATTGGGCCTACCAGAATAAGCCAGGATAATCTCCCCACCTGAAGATCCTCAACTTAAACACATCTGCAGAAACTCTTTTTATCATATCAGGTAACCTTTAAAACAGGTATTTTTTAATCATTGGGCCTATCTGTTTACCTATCACTCTGCACTCCTTCTCACCCTTGTGTAACACAGTGTCTTAAACAAAAATCTTTGCTGAATAAGTGGATGTTTAGTTCAAATGTACACTGCATCATAGCTCTTTTATTAAGAGCCTAAAAACATGGTTAATAAAGCTACATATACCCAAATATGCACACAGAAAAAATTTTACTACCCTTCACAAAAGCAGGAATAAGGGGAAATGATTTGATTCACTTTGATTCAAGCTGAGTATTAATGAGACTATAGTAAAATATCTTCCTATACATCTCAGTACCAAATCCTTAAGAGATGTGAATACAGGGCCTCCCTGGTGGCGCAAGGAGTTAAGCACCTCACTATGAAGCAATCCGCAGCCTCTGCAGCATGAGTTCGATCCCCGGCCGACCAGAGAGCAACCCACATGGCGCGGCAGACCTCTCTTGTCTCGCCCACGCTCCCCTCAGCAGTGTGTTTCAGTCAGTCTGCCTGTTCTGCTCCCCACTCTGTCTCTGGTGAATCCTCTCACCTCCCAGACCTCTGGCCTATACCTCAGCTCTTGTATGTATAAATAAATCTTTAAAAAAAAGAGAGAGAGAGATGTGAATACAATGTTTCATCTAACATTTATACTGACACATGTTGTACATACACACATTAGTAGTTGACATATATAAATGGATTCAGATAGTCATTAATCAGAAGATAAACCATGTGTTTTCTTGTTGAAAGTTGCTTATTAGTTGTCTTTTGCTCTTATCGTATGAGATTAATTGCTGAAAGAGAGAGTTGGTTATCTCACCCTGAGCAGTATAACTCTTATTTCTGCTCTCTTGGTGTCTTTATATTCATCAATTCATGTAGACCTTAAGGTAAGAACACAGAACAAAAAGCTCCCTTCGAATATGCAATTTTGGGGTCATATGGTAGCCCATTTTTTAGTAGTCTAAGGAACCTCCTCACAGGCTTCCATAGTGATTGGACCAGTTGGATGGAACTGGAAAGGAATATTGTCAGTGAAATAAGTCAGAAGGAAAAATAAAAATATTGGATTGTTTCACTTAAAAGAGGAATATAGGGGAATCAAATAAGGGATCAGGGGGAAAAATAATAATAATAATAAACCAAAAATAAACAGGCAACTATAAATCAGAGACATTCTATAGGACAGGGGGAGGGAAAGGGACAAAACAGGGTGGGCAGAGCACAAGGGACTATAGTGATGGAGCACACCAGGTGAATTAGTGGTGGGAATTCTATGAGGACTACAACAGAGAAAAAGCAAACCAAACATTGTACAAAAATGAACAATGATGTAAAATATATGTAAATAAAAATATTTTTTTAAAGAGGCATGTATTTTTATTTATTTATTTGTTTGTTTGTTTGTATATGCACTGGGTACAGTCAGAAGTGCGGGAGGGTAAGAGAATTCACCAGAGCCAGAGCAGGGAGCAGAGCAGGCAGAAGGACCGAAGTACACTGCTGAGGGGAGCAGCGGGCAGCAGGAGAGGTCTGCGCGCCATGTGGGACCCTCCTCCGGTGGCCAGGGAGCAGCCGGGGATCGAACCGGCACTGCAGAGGCCGCGGGCAGCTTCGCAACCCAGCGCTCAACTGCTGCGCCACTGGGGAGGCCCAATAAATATTTTTTTAAAAAAACAAATATGCAATTTCCCAACCTGTCAGGCTCTGAGCCCTTGGTAATTGCTCCAACCACTTCCTCCACTGACTCAACACTTACATTCCACAGACTGAGGATATTCTCAATTTGCCACACTCTCCTAACCGACCTCTAGTTTTCATCATTCTCCCAGAAGGGCAACATTGACAATTCTGGGATCTTCCAATGATGAGTTTAAACTCATTTGAGCAATTATCCATGGGACTTCTAAGTACCCAATGAGTAAGTGCACTAATTGATTGAAAATAAAACTCAACCACAACAAAAAAGTGGTTCAGTTTGATTCTCAGTTCTAAGATTGAAGCTAAAATTACACTACACAAGACTCAAATATTACTTTGAGGGCCTATTACAAAGAGAAAATGGTAAGTACCTTTTTGCCACAGACAAGAAGTTCTACACAGGGGTGAGCAGCTACATGGGGACTTAAGAAGGACCTCAGAGGTGTTGGCCCACACCGTGGCTGCACTGAGCACTAGGACCAGCTGAGCCACGATGTGAATCCCACAATATTCACTGATACCCAGACTAGCACCCAACTATGTAGACTTTTTTCCTGGGATATCAGATCTGCTGTCATCTCCTTTCCAGCGAGTCAATTCTAAGTTTTCAACTCACTTGATTCCTACCTTAGCACCAGTTTCTTTATCAATAAAATAATGCTAGAAGAATGAAGTAAAATAATACATAATGTATCCCAAATTATATAAATATGTATATAATTATATAAATATGTGAAGTGTATAAATATGTATAAATAATGTACCCCAAATTATATAAATATTGGCTGTTTGCACCTGAATTTCTTAAGCATAAATGTATCAAATTGATGCAAACTTCTCTAGAAAATGCTTTAAATTTATGTTTTTTAATTTGTGTTATGACAAACTAAGAGAAATTAAACAAGCATATTCTGGACTACCCAGACAGCTACCTTGATGATTTCATGCCTGTATTTGCATTTTTGTTGATAATCATCTTGGGACCAATAGAAGAAAAAAAAAAAACAAGCACCTAGATTACCAAAAGTTATTTGACTGATTCACTCATTTATTCATTCACTATATTAAGGTTCAACCTATACAATAGATGTGGAAGTTGTATCCAAAAAGTTACAGTGTTTGCTCTCAATTATTTCAGACTATAGATTCTTTAAACTGGGGTCTATGAAACTGTAAATTCAGAAGTTCTATGAGCTTCTGAAATTATAAGCAGAATTGTATTATGCTCAAATGTGCTTATGAGCACTTTTCTAGAAATAAAAGGTTTATCCTCTTTATAAGACAGACAAAAAGGTTTGTGTAACAGCCATCCTTGAAGTTGGAGTGTCCAACATCCCTTTTCTGGTAGCAGAATACATTGCTGCTCTTTGGAGAAGCACCACTTTACCTTCTTCAGTCCAAGTGGATTGGGTGGAGGTAATCTCACCACCTGGCTCCAGGGATGAGCCGGTGACCCAATGTGAGTCAATCAAAGTTAAGTCAGCATGTGACTTTCCATCAAGACTTCAAAACTTGTAGAACATTAGCCACACACCGCTGATCATCTTTGCTGCCATGTAGAGAAGACTAAAATGGAAGCCAGAAAGAAAGAAAGCCAGGTGGAAATCTGGAGAAAGACAAAATTACAACTTTTGTTGGAAGACATGATTTCATTGAAAGCTAGAGCAAATTCAACTTGGGACGTTCTAGTTACATAAGGAATACATTTCAGTTCTTTGTGTAAATCTGTTAGAATTTTCTCTCTGTTCTTTTCAGTGAAAATAAATCTGGCTAATTCAAACACCCCCACAAACATACACACAAACAAACAAACAAAGCCACTAGTTTATTGTTCCCAGAAACTAAGCTCTCCAATTGATGGTGATTGATTTAGCTTAACCTTATTATTCTTGGGTTCTGTTACATTAACTATCATCCTCAAATCTAAATTTAGTCTTATCACTAGCCCATGACTTACAAATGCCCTCTCATTTTATTTTGTTACCTCTGTAGCCACTGTTTCTCATGTTATGAAATATGAGAATAATAGAGATTATTTTCCCACTCTGATTGGCCTTGAGCTGCTTGCAGAATCACAAAGCAAACTGATAGGTTTTCCCCATAATCTTCAACATGCCAACATCGCTCTCCACACTTTGCACAATGAACATAATGATACTGACTACTTACTGGCATTCAACATGTGTTAGTGAAATAACTTAAAGATGCTAGGACCTTTCTCTGTCATTCTTAAAAGGAAGATAAGCTACCAGTAATGTATCTTGATCTGGGGAACTCATTGGCGAGTGGATGGTTCTCTTATGGAGAACAGAATGTTGGCTTAATCTTCACTTGGTGCATTACAGGTTAGAGAGGACAGCACAAATAAAAAATGGGTGGGTCTATGACAATAAATATAAAGCAATGTCTATTTTCATTTTTATGGCACAAAATTTTAAAGCCTACCCTAATGAAGCCATCACACATGAGTAGTCTCTGAATGGAAAATGAAATTATTCATTACAAGAAAAGGGTAGGATTGGGACTACAATTCTCTTTTGGAAGAAATTCCTTGATGATGTTTAATGTTATTTAAAATATTTCAAAGCATTGGCACAAGCCTCTTCTTTAGGTATACAGAAATTTCACTTATATTACAACATGTCCAAAATAGCAATTTGCCCTTGGTGACAATATCTAGAAGTAGGGCACTGAAACACACCTACATACATACACACATACACATATTTGGCTGAACAGGATCAATTTATGTAATTAAATGGGCTATATTTTCTTAGAGTATGTGCATAGTATTTGATTTAGAGATAAATGTCACAAAAACAACTGAAGAATGTTTTTCTTCGCAAGACCTGAACAGCAGATGTATATTTTTTTGAAGTTATGTGAACAAGAAGGAAGAGAAAGAGGAGGAAGAGCTAGGTTAGAAGAGGAGGCAGAGGAGGGGGAAAGGAGAAGGGGGGAGGCTACAGGAACGTATGTACCTAAGTGGCAATTCCCCATCTTAGCAGGAAGTAGCCTTGGCCTGAGCTACGAGACACAGAAGAGGCTTCTTAGGAAATCCCTGTGAGCTATAAAGGAAGTGAGGACACAGAAAATGCAAAAGCCCCAATAATCCCCTAACAACCACAGAAGCCTCTAAATTTCCATTGAAGTTTTCACCAACTGGCCCTGGTAGGTGGGGAAAGGTGGCACAGATGACAAAAGAAAGAGAAACAATAACAAAACTGAAAGAACGTGGAGGAGCAGTGGCAGGAAGAATTGGTGGCACCAGGAGCAAAGGTCGCCATTCCCTCACCTCCCCACCACCAACACCACCAACACCCCCTCCCCCCGCCCCACTGCACTCAAACTGCCTGTAGGATATTGGAGGCATGTCCTTCTGCCACATCTGGTCAGCCGCCAGGCTGGGGAGCTGCCTGCACAATTTGAAAGAGAAGTGTAAATTCAAGAAACAAAAAGCCTCTTTTGGAGGGGACTTTCCCTTGCTTGTGAGGTTTCAGATCATGTTCTGCAACAATCTCCTGGCTTGTGACAGGGTTTCAGGGAAATGAGACAACTCAGATGCAAATTACAAAGGGGAAAAAAATGCAGCAATGGCTTGAGAAAATGAACTGAATCATGCCGAGTGTGGCGAGGCACAACTCTGAGCTAGAGCAAAGCATAGCAAGTGTTGTCTGAAATACAAGAGCAAAAAAGAAGGGCAAATGTTGCTAGTCTTAGGTAATAATTAGAATTTCTAGTTATTAAGAACCTACTATGTGCCAGAAGAGTTGCATACATTAACCCTTATCTTTCCAGCAGATAATAGGAAGTAGACATTATTATCTCCATCTATAAAGAGGAAAAAGCACACTTAGAAAAATTCAGTAAAAAAATTAGCTAACACCACCCAGTTCCAGGGTGAAGATTCAAACCGAGGTCCACTATTAGCAATTACATGCTTTTCCCTTGACCCTCTGCCACTAATTCATGACTCGCTGTAAAAGCCACAAACTTTTTCATACCTAGATTTTCCCTTATGACATGGTCCAAGTAAACCAATTGGTTAGATAAGACAGTCACCTGAAATGACCTGTTTTTAACCTTGATCTGTCTCTGTCACTAACCTGTTCTATGAAAACTGAATTCATGTAGCTTCCCTGCATCTCAGTTTTCTCATCAATAAAATAGGGATGTGGTAGGAGCAACTTCTATGAGCATACCTAGTCGTCATAGGCTAAAACAAGGAAGGAAATTTCAAAATTGCTGTTTGCTTTTAACAAAGTATGCAGTGAGGTTATTATATTCCAGTTCTCTTCAGATAATATACACTCAAGGTACCATGCTTTAAAAAAAAAAATTATTTTAAACATTTTTTTAGATGACCTTGCAAATGGAGACCTAGTATTCCCACCCAACCTTGGTTAGCAAAAAGGCTGAGCAGGAAAAAAGCAAGGCAAATCAACATTCTTTAGCCCTCTCCCAGCATAAATCATCACTTACTGTGGGAAAATGATTATTCGCCAGGAAGTAGGGCTGATGAATCATTATTCTGTTCTCTTGGGCCTCTGTCAAGCAAGAACTAAAGGAGGAAAAGCTAAGAAGTTGGGTGTGAACTCTGAATTACCAACAGTTTTGCTCATGGCACCTAAGGAATGAAAACCGAAAGCTAAGTGAGCCATAGGCCACATCAAAACATAGCGCAGGCCTGCAGATTGACATGAGCCCAGTCTTCCTGAGTCACTCCTTGAGTCTGAGTCTTTGCAGCCTCACAGAAGTCTTGATCAGCAAATGCAAATAATACCACCCTTGGCTTGTCCTGACAGGCAATGTGCTTGTCAACTAATGCTTGTGTAAGGAGCATCCTCCTCATCTGGAAACACCAGCAAATACTACAAAGAAAGGGTTAAATTGTTCAACCTCAGTGATCATGTTCTAGAAAAGAAATGCATGAGAGATAGACACCACAAACACACTTTCCTTTGTGGTTTCAGCAAATATTGTGCTACAATTTCTCTTTTGTTGCTGTAAGCGACAGCATATCTAATGCAAATACCTTTTTTATTTTGTTTTTCCACATGTACTTTGACATCTGAAGAAAATGTTTGATTTGAACAAAAAGCTATTTTTGATCAAAGCTGTAGAAAGTTAAAACTACACACTTCATAGTCAAAATCATAGGAATTTATCTAAGTTGATAAGAAGTGATCTTTTTTTTAAATGATTTTTTTAAAGATTTATTTATTTATTTATACAAGCACTGGGTACAGTCAGAAGTGTGGGAGGGTGAGAGAATTCACCAGAGCCAGAGTGGGGAACAGAACAGGCAGACAGACGCGGCAGGAGAGGTCTGCGTGCCATGTGGGACCCTTGCCAGTGGCTGGGGATAGAACCGACGCTGCAGAGGTAGCAGGCAGCTTCATAGCCCAGCACTCAACTGCTGTGTCACCAGGGGAGGCCCCGAAGTGATCATTATTTAAATAATAAAATGGTGTACTGTATTGTATGAATATTACACAATTGTTTTAAAGGATGGAAAACACAACACAAATGGACATCCCTCTCACAAAAAAAGCAAACACTTGGACACACTGACTTATAATTTAATTGAAAATTGACTCAATAAATAAGAGGGAAAGTGATAAGAATAAAGTATGCATCCAGAAGAACCAATATGTGAATAATAGGAATTTCATGAGGAAAGAATAGAATAAATAGAAGGAAAAGGACTAATAAAAATATGTAATATACTTTTGTGTAAGTGGAAGGAAAGGGCTCGAAAAGTGCCAAGTAGGGATAATTAAAACAAACAAATCCACTTAGACATAGTCTGTCTACAAAATCCATCTCTTTTCTGCTCTGAGTATTGCTCTCTGCTTTCTTTACTGTCTGAAAGGTAGTGAAGGTGGGAGGACAATATTGTGATGATGTAAAAGAGAGGGTATTTAAAATTCCCCCAGTCCTGAGAGGAGACACCAGACAAGGTTTTCCATTGGTAGTTTTTGATCAAGGAAGTAGAGTGATGTTGCTTAGAACAATGAAATGAAACCAGAGTTGACTGAGTCATCAACCAATCTTTTTTTCCCCACCCCACTCTCTCTGATGTAAAACACTAAGAGAATGAAAGTTGCTTTCTAGTGTTACTAGGGTAAGTATAGAACAATATTTCTTACAGTTTGTTCCACAGAAGGCCAGGCCCATGAGCTACTCTGCATAAAGAAGATTTTTCATCCCAAAGTAAACAGATTGAAAAACCTGCAGACAGGGCCTCCCTGGTGGCGCAGCAGTTGAGCGCAGGGTTGCGAAGCTGCCTGCAGCCTCTGCAGTGGCAGTTCGATCCCCAGCTGCTCCCTGGCCACAGAGGAGGGTCCCGCATGGCGCCCAGACCTCTCCTGCCGCCCGTGGCTTCGGTCCTTCTGCCTGCTCTGCTCCCTGCTCTGGTTCTGGTGAATTCTCTCACCCTCCCGCACTTCTGACTGTACCCAGTGCTTGTATAAATGAATGAATGAATGAATGCATGCATGAATGAATGAATGAATAAATAAATTAATTAATTAAATGAATCTTAAAAAGAAAAAGAAAAACCTGCAGACAGATGTCCCCTGTATCCCAGGGCACCATTGTCAG